TACCAACATCCAAGACATATTAGTTTACTTTTTGTTGCCTCTGAAAAGTAGACTGAGAGCCGGCATAAGACTTTGTCACAACACGCAGAGTATCAAACCCGTCCGAGAAGCAAGCAGGCTTAAGACTTAGAGTGCAATCCAATGGCAGCAGTGACTTAGATTCTCACTTAGTGTCGAACGTAGAACTGTGCGGCACACCGTGCTTGTCTGCCGCTACGCAGGCCTTCGCGATGTCAGCCATGAATACAATGAAAAGAATATAACAGAAAAAAGGGAAATAATTCACAAAATTCCGAGATCTGCTGATTGATCTGAGCCCTGATTACAAAGAAGCATCAGCCTCTCTGCAGTCAGGGCCCAGCTCGGACAGCAGATCTCTTGCCTTGAAGGCGGGTCTGCTGCGTGTAATAGGAGAATATATTACCTGTAAATATCAAAGTGCATAGCTTCCCATAGAAAGAGGAATACCGTACGCATAGATCACTTGAGGTTGGAAAATCCTGAAAATTTAGAATAATCGTTTCGAGATCTAAGAGTGACTTACGTAAATACCATCAAGAAGGTGCCGCGCGCCGGTTTGGCTAAGCGGATGTCGGCAGAGTGGAAGCACCGCTGAGAGTAATGGAATCAATGTCGTGTGAACGGTTTCACACTTTGCCGACCCTCCGCCTTCGAAGCAAGCATGCCTCATATACTATCACCGTTCAACCGCGAATGTCCTTCCCCGCCGTCATTATGCCCCGATGCTCTTTGACCCCCTTCACTGGGGTCGACACTCCCCATTTCCTTTTCATGAGATGTTGGCTATCCAGTGCTACTGCATGCATCTCACTTGGGTAGATTTCTCACTCATATACATGGCTACTTGCGCGGTGTCGCCACTGCAACGAAGGCTTCGTCGCCCGCGCGCGATCCTGGCCAAACACGACGCAGAGGAGCGTCGACAGGCGCAAGCGAGATCGAGGCGAGCAGCAGAGATCGATCGGAGACGGCGGCTGTGCTGCCTGCCAAATCAAGCAAACGAGAGGTGAGCCTTTGACGCGTCGTCTTTCGCGCTTGACGCTCATTCCGCGTTCCTTCAGCCGACGACTGCTCGCGCGTCCTAGTCCGCTGCTCACGCTTGCTACGGCTCTGAAGTCATGTTAATTAGTTTTTTGGAGAGGTATGTGTCCGTTCTGCGCGATTTCCGCCGCTGCTTGATATTTAATACACGTTCGATGGCGAAGAGCGGTTCCAGCGGTTCAAGGCGATGAATAACCGTTAGTGGGCAAGTTAGCGCAGCGCAATATCGCTGCCTTGAAGGTCTACAATACCCGGGGACGAGAGGGAGTAGCCACGGGAACGGGGGGAGGTTGGCTGCGTTTGAGCGGGTTATGTGCGGAGATTGGAGACGGTTTCGGGGAATATATGTGAATGAATCCACATCTGTGCTCATTTTCCGTCCGATTTCCACTAACGCTGGCTTTGCAAGGTTTGCGTTCCCCTGGTCTGCGCTTTCACCAACTCCCCCTCAACTAACAACACTATTCACGAGTTCCGGCTGTAATCCTTGGCACGCAGCCCCATACGACATGTTTTCTGACTTGAACGCACCAACTGGAGTAGGAGGGGTCTAGCATACGGCTTGTTTGGGCTGGGTAGTGCTATGGTACGTTGTCTCCATTGCGTTGGGTCTCATAGCCGGCGCTCACTCTGTTCCCAGTTATCTAGTTCCCTTATTCCATATTATCAATATATTCCAATTTCGTGCTTGTTTTCCCATCCCACTGATGTGGGGCAACACGATTCAACTGAGAATTAACGGTTCATCGACCCCGGTGAGCGGCTGGGCTTAGCGTTGCGAGCTTGAGGTACGCCGAAGCGATGCTTGTGACTTGTGCAAAGTCTGACCTACATTCAGCTGTTACATCCCAAGGTCGTGCCGCTGGTCTTCGTCACGCGCCAGATCATTGGCAGAGCGTTTCGGCGCCGGCTCTTCTCGTTAAAGTTGCTCCTGCGTCTCGTTACGCGAGACGACGCTTATCTTTTCTATCTGAGAATCTGTCATAGTTGTAAGTATTGATCGCTATTGGCTCGGTCTCCTGCAGGTTCGAAAGGAGATCTACACGGCGTTCAAGAGGGTATGCCGATGGAGTGGCGGGGACTAGGCAGATGTAAGTGTTCGTTTCATGTGCAGCTATTTCAGGTATGGGGACTGACAGCGGAACACTCCTCTGTAACAGGCATCCTCAACCTCCCTCGTTTCCCCCGTCACTCGCCCTCACTCAGTGCTACGGCGAACTTTTGCACGGGTTCCACTACGAGCAGAACGGCTGTAATATGCGCGCGACGGCCGCGCGGCGCTGGTGTGACTTCTGTAGCGACCGTTGGGATTGGTTCAGCGACTTGGTGTGTCTAGCTGTATCGTAGCGCTGTCATTCACTGATTATCCATGGCAGACTACGGCCTCTTCCTCCTCGACAGCAATGAGCTGCAGAGCCGACGACCCGACGCGGACTCCGTGCCCTTGCGTTCCGGCGACGGTATCCCCCGCCAAAAGCACTCTCCGGCTCCCCACACAGCGCGGCCCTCTGTTCTGTCGAGGGGGGGCAGCGTACGTGAACTTTGCGGCACGTTCTTCCCGACGGCCACTCGTCGCAAGGGCTACTCGATGTCGGCATTTCAAGCCCTGACGGCCTTCTCTCCGCTGTCTGGTACTGTCTGGCTCCCGTCAATTCTCGGTCGTCGCTGCCGCCGGTCCTATCCTCTCTGTCTCCTGGTTCGATCTACTGCGCCATCTCCCACGACTGAGGCTCCCAGTCAGCACCTCCGACATTAAGATGCTCGGGCAGACTTGTCTGAGCGCGCACTTCCCACGACGCGCGGTGTTTGGACGCGAATGTCATGAACGGCAGACATGGTATCCTCGCTACCATTGCTTCTGTAAGTTCCCTTTATTGTGATCACACTGTCGTATGGTGACGTTCCACAGTCTTTGTCGCCTCTCGCCGGCACTGAGGACCGGCATCACGATGTAGGCATGGATCGACGCCCGACGAAAGACCTCCCGCTGCCTCTCTACCCCCTCTCAGTGTTTGTCCGTGGTCAGACAAGTAGCCACGAATCAATGTCTGGGGAGCGCCTCCTATCCGCACCTCAGCCGACGAAAGTCAGGTGCCAGTCTCGGGCACTTGGCCCGGATGACCTTTACGACTGTGCGGATGTCCTCGGCCCAATCTGCGGCGAGTCGCGACGTGCTCCTCGCACGTTACATGGCCCTACGTCAATGTACGGACGCATCGCCGCCCCGCGGCCGATGCGAGGGTAGATCGGCTTGCATGAGCGCTAGCCATCTCGCGACGTTCGTGTCCTGAAGGTACGCGTCCGTCTGTTGAAGTCTGCTCCATCATTATCTGACTCTTGCTTATCAATTCCTAGGTCTCATCACGTTGTACCGACGTCTCCGCGACGGCCTCTTCATCGCAAGCGCCGGTCTCTCGGGGGGTCCTGGACAGCAATATAGGTACGAATCGAAGCCCCGCGAGACGTACCCACAGGCCTATCCTTTCAACTTCAAGTTACCACTCCGTGGATGTCTATGGCCCGGTCAGCGGCAATGTGCGCGACGGACATTGGATGAACGGATTGGATGAATCGCTCCGAGGATGAATGGGCTCGCAGAAGGGCCAGCACATATATCCCGAATGTACGTATCTCTCAGTTCCATCATTGTACCGATCTAACTGTCCCTTAACAGTTCCTAGGGCCGTGCGGCGATGATGAGATGTACGGCCTTCGGAGACGAGTCCCAAAGTTGTTGGGCTCGTAGGGACTCGGTCAGGTGCTAACGCGAAGGTGTGTGCTCTTCACTTCCGTCTCTACGCCTTGCTAACACTGTGTGGCTGTCCAGAGTCGAGTGCTGCAAGTCAGTCATGCTACGCCACGAGTACACGGATGCGCTCTTGTCTGCGGGGATCTGCGATGACAATGTAGGTATCGATCGAAGCCCCGCGAGTGAGACCCCTGGGCGTATCGCTGCCGACGTCTCTCCCAAGTCTACGGCAATATGGGGACAAATCGCCGTCCCGCGGGCAACCCGATCCACCCTCGTTGACGTCCTCAATGGCACAGCACTCGGTGCTCATCTGGAGCAGCCAGTTCGAGTCATCAACGCACCGAGGAAAATCTGTGGCTTGGCTCTCCCATGGACCTACGACAATGTAGGGACGAATCTTCGTCCCGTGAGCGAGGTGATCCTTGCTTGTCGATGTCTGGGGGCGTGAATTACACGCTGCCCGCCTTGTGAAGCGTCTGCACACCTTGGCGAACGTCTCCGGATCATCTCCGACTATCGGGAGGTACAACAATGCAGGGACGATTCTTCGTCCCGCGAGCGACCCCAGCCTGCCTCGGCGATACCTCCCAGACCGTCCCTCAGCCCGGACCTTTCGACACGCCGGTAGACAATGTAGGGACGTTTGCTCGTCCAGCCAGCAAGGTCTGAGCCTGCGAAGGGCGCAGGGCTGAGTGGGCCGGAACTTCAGGACACCTCAACAGATATTTATGGCTAGGGGTTCTTACGACAGAGTACGGACGATTCGTCCCAATCCTCGCGCCGTCCCGGTCATGTCGGACCTTTGGAGCAGCAGTCGGGGCAAGCGAGATGAAGTAGGTATGGATCGAAATCCGGCGAGCGCGGTGGGGAGGTATGGGTGACTTGATGTGCAGGTACGTCTTTGTCGATATCGCACAAAAATCTATTGCTAAAACCACGGTATCCTACAACAGCTCGTAATCGTATACCAACCCCACCTATCCCGTCCAAAGACCACTCCTTGAAATTCGCGAGCCTGGTCTCGTCACCTCCGCGAGGACCCGGAGCCCGCGCAAAGCAAATCCAGCGGGCTTTGAGGCCTCGAAAGATGCCTGCCATGATTTTGAAGCGGCGGCGATTCTGGGCGGACGGAGGCGTTAGCGCTCGTCTGCAGACTTGAGGCGGGGAGCGGATGTCCTAGTGCGACTTGTAGTCTCGTCGTATCCCTTGCAGTTGCTCGTAGCGCACTTGTAGGCCCTGATACGTGTCCCTTGTAGTCGCTCCAAGTACACTTGTAGCCTCGAATACGACTCTTTCTCCTCTATACCTCGTTGTACAGGCAATAGTCAAGGAGACTACCCCGTTCTTCAGGGCCGGGTCAAGGAGACTCGTAGTCCCTAATACAGCTCTTCCCCCTCTCTTCAGGGCCGGGTCAAGGAGACTCGTAGTCCCTGATACAGCTCTTCCCCCTCTCTTCAGGGCCGGGTCAAGGAGACTTATGGCTTTTTTCTTATTTGTACACCTCGCTTAGCTCCGCCTATCATTCACCAAACAAAAATTATCGGGTCGACGCACCTCCCACCTCGCCTTTCCCCCTCTCCTGCGTCTGCTCCACCACGTCCGGGTCGTTGCTCACGCCGTCGCTCTCTGCTGCGTGCACGCTGTCACTGTTCGCTGCTCCTTCCTCTCACTCTCGCCGTCGCTGTCTGCTGCTCGTCGCCGAATCGTACTCTCATGCCACGTATGCTCGTCCCGCCCTCCTTGACATCGAACTGGACGAGCAAGTCCTCCACGAAGACCTTC